GCGAGCTAGAAGAAGAAGTCTACGTTACTCAACCACCAAGATTCGAGAAACAAAATGAGGGGAATAAAGTGTTTCATCTCAAGAAAGCGCTTTATGGATTGAAGCAAGCCCCCCGAGCGTGGTATAGCAAAATCGACGGTTTTTTCCAACAAAATGAATTTGAGAGAAGCATACATGAGCAGCTTTATATCTGAAGAATCAAGGCGGAGGTAATTTCATTATAGTAAGCTTATACGTCGATGACATGATTTATACCGGATCATCATTGCATCTTATGTCTGAGTTTAAAGAGTCCATGAAGAATATGTTTGACATGACTAATCTAGGAGAATTGAAGTATTTCCTAGAACTAGAAGTGAATGAAATAGAAGAAGGAATATTCATGTCACAAAGGAAATATGTGAAAGACAGGCTGGAAAGGTTGAACATGTTGAATTGCAAAGTTTCCAACACTCCGATGAACACAAGTGAGAAATTGAGGCCACATGACAAAACAGAAAGAGCATATGGGAGCTTGTACAGGAGTCTAATTGGAAGACTCATTTATGTCACACATTCTCGTCCAGATGTGAGCTTTACTATTGGGGTCCTATCACAATTCATGCACAATCTGAATTGACATCACTTTGGAGCAGCAAAGAGAGTCCTACGGTATCTCGCAAGAATAATGAACTTTGGTATTTGGTATCGTGAAGTGGAAGATTTTAGCCTCAAATGATACAACGATAGCGATTGCGATGGCTCGGTGGCAAGTGGACGAACTACAACAGGAAAATGCTTTATACTCGGGTCGGTTGCCATTTCTTGTAGCTCGAAGAAACAGGCAAAAGTAGTGCTCTCCACCACTGAAGCAGAATACGTAGCTGCAACAGCTACCGCTTATCAAGCAGTATGGTTACGAAGACTCATGAGTGATATTGGAATGAAACAAGACAACGCAACTGCAATATTCTGTGATAACAAGTCGGCTGTCATACTCGTAAGAAATCCGGTTTTCACAACTGGACCAAGCATATTGAAATCAAACATCATTTCATAAGAGAAATCATGGCAAGGGGTGAAGTTAAATTAGAAAGTTGCAGCACTCAGGAGTCTACCGTTCTTGAAGCATGAGAAGTTATCCCTTCTATTGGGACTGGCAGAGTTCGAATGAAAGGAGAGTGTTAGAAGTAACTGTTAATTCAAACTAGTCAATCTAATTTAGTTGTTAAATAATCCCTAAAGATTAGGAGATAATATTCCTGATCTTATGAGTCTGCTGAGGATATTTTAGAAGCTTATGTTTGCCCCCATTACTTTCTCGTAGACTTGTTCTTCTTATTTTCTATCAGAAATGACCACTTTAGACTTTGTAAAGAAAATAAACTTTCAATATTGTTTACAAATTATAAAAACAAAAATAAAAAATTAGACACAAACTAAGGACAAAAATGTAATTTACTCGAAATAAAATTATTATACTCATATCAATAAATTAGTTTAATCAGAATATATAATATATAAATAAATAAATAATAATATATTAAAAGAAGGTTACGGGGCTACCAGATTACATAAACCAAACGATATGCCCCCAAATAATCAACTTATTATTAAAAACCCTAACATTATTAAATTTGGAAGCCAACAACTCATCCATAGGTGTCGTATTCTCAAAACAAATTATAATTCAACCAAAAGTCAAATATTTAAAATTATTATATTTAATTTTAATAGCTTATTTATTTTAAACTAGAAGAGTACTTGAGTAATGCAACGAGACACATCTTGATTATAGTATTCTATTTTATTATTTGTCTCTGTCGAAGTATTAATATGATTTTATGTGTTTTAAAGAAAGTAATAATTATTTTATTTTTGAATAAACTATAAATTTGAAAATATCATAAAATTTTGAAGAAAAAATATATATCAATGTTAATATCAAATAAACTATTTAAAAGTTTTTTTTTTGGTGTAATTTCAATAATTTATTTTTTAATATAATTTAATTTAAGTTTAATAATGAAATAATTTATTTTTTGTTTAATATTATAAATTTTATAAAAAAATAATAATTAAGTATTATGTTAGAATTCAATGATTATCCTAATTATATTTTAGATTTTTTATATTTAAAACAAGATGTTTATCCTGTATTTGATTATGTTTATCTGCAGTTAGTTACACGAATTCAGATATGGAGTTTTAATAAGTTCTACTTACGCACAATCTACTTGTAATCTTGAGTTTTAAGTAATGTGCATTAATAAACAGTATTTTATGCATAAAAAGTAGTTTTTAAGAGTTTTTGTCAAATGCTTTATAATATAGTATAAATATTACAATATTAATTATATTATAAAAATATAAAATACATTTAATAAAAATATTATAATATATTTTTAGTTTCAAATAGTTTTTGTCGATGGAAATAACAATAAATTATTTACAATAAATTATTTATCTCTTTTTAAATAATTATTTTTAGAGAATTCTTGAAATTAAAGAAAGTTTTAAAGGATATCTTGAAACCTAAAATGAATCTAAAATCCTCAAATTCTCAAGTTTTTCATTTTGAATAATCTATTAAAACTGAGTTTGGTGCATGGAATAAGACATAACGAAATGAGACAAAACACAGTATCTTATGTTTGACATGTAATGAAACATGCAAGAACTCACTGTTCCACGTTTGACGTGACATGGAACATGGACAATAACTAGGACAATATTGGACCAAAAAAAAATCTTGTTCCACCAAAATAGATGGGACAAGAATAAGCCATAAACTGAAATATTACAAATCCAACCTCATTTGGTTTATAACTTTAGTATGATGTTTGTTGTAATAGTCACCACCGCTAGTTGCAGCTGCCGCCGCCATCGGCGTCGTCGACCACCTCCACCTTTTCTTCCACTACAACAACCTCCTCCACCATACAACCACCGTCGACCACCGACCACAACCGTCCATTCCCACCTCCACAACCATCATTAGCTACCAACCACCACCGTCCATTGCCACTATCACTACCATTGTGGGCCACCTCCACCACCACAGTCGGCTACCATTACTATTGCCTACCATCACCACCACTACCTCAATTGCATCGGTCACAGCTATATCCTACACCACTGTCGACCACCCTACAACCACTATCCACCATTTTCATGTCCTCTACAACCACCATCGTCCACCAACCACCACCAGTACCGTCGTCTACCACCACCTCCACCTCCTCTATAACCACTACCACCATCGGCTACCACTACCACTTCCCTCTACCATAGCACAACCACCTCCTCCACAGCTACCATCATCCACCAATCACCATTTCCTCTACGTCCACAAACATTGTTGCTGTAACAATCTTCGTCGTGTCTCCGCCAATTGATAAGGAACTTTCAATCCTTTGTATGAATCGGGTTTATTTGAACTATCATCAATTATATCAATTTTTTCATTCAAATTTGATACTATTATATATGTATGTATTTATGTATGTAAAAATGTTTATAAGTTAAATTATTTACTTTATTTGCGTCATTTATAATTATTATGTGAAATAAAATCATCAAACAACTTTTAGGTGAAAATTTCTATAGTTATGTCTTATCTAGTTCTAGTCGTATCAAACACTAAGCAGACAATTATCTTGTCCTCTTGTTATACCCAGTTTTATCATGTCTAGTGCGATCCAATCATGTGTGTGTACCAAACCGGATATTTTTAGTAATAGTTTATTGTTTTTTTCAAAAAAGGATAACAAAATAATATATTAAATTTGGTCAAAAAATAATAATATTTCAAATATCATCACAATAAATATCTATACTATATTATAAAGCATTTGACAAAAACTCTTAAAAACCATTTTTTATGCACGAAGTACTGTTTATTAATGCATATTACTTAAAATTCAAGATTACAAGTAAGTTGTGCGTAAGTACAACTTATTAAAGCTCTGTCTTTGAATTCGTGTAACTAACCGCAGATAAACATAATCAAATACATGATAAACATTTTATTTTAAAATATAAAAAATCTAAAATATAATTAAGATAATTATCCAGTTCTAACAAAATAATTCATTATTATCTTTATAAGAAAATTATATTATTAAACCAAATATAAATTACTTGTTATTGAACCTAAATTAAATTATAATTAAAAAATTGAATTAAAAAGTTACACAAAAAATAGGAATTTTAAATATTTTATTTGACACTAATATCAATATATTTTTGTGAAATTTATATTTTATTCAAAAATAAAAACATCATCGTTTTTTTCAAAATCACATAAGATCATATTATAACATCGACTGGGATAAATAATAAAATAAAATATTAAAATCAAGATGTATTTCGCTGCATTACGCGAGTACGCTTCTAGTACTATTAAAATAATAGTCTTAAATTTTTCAATAAAATAATTTATGATGTTATAAGTATTTGAATACATTTGTAAGGCCTTTAACTCGATTGATTAGCAAAAAGATTTAAGTTGTTTGGTAAAAAAAACAAGTCCGCCTCTTAATAATTCTAAAACTCTCTGAATGATTTTATATAATGGGCCTCTCTTTACCATTTCGCGCCCTAATTTCATTGTAAACAATTACCAGACAATTATATTTCATTATGCACTGAGTTTAAATGCAAAAACTAACGATTGACTAAACGTAATAAACAAACTGTAAGGACCAAATCCGATAGTTCCTACATAACAGAGGGCCAAAATTGTAGTTCACTCTAAATTTAAATTGAATCTTATGTTTTCTAATTTAAAATCATAATGTTGTATCAACCTAATAATAATCATAATTAAGACATATAATTTTATGTAAGAAAACATAATAACCAACACTTTACATCTCAAAATAAAAATTGTTGTGATTATAACGACAAACGATCGATCATATTATACATCGGTAATGGCTAAGGGCGAAGCCAACGGGCTTTTCGGGCACAATGTGTTACACAGAACAACCTCGAATAATCGAAATCGAAATTCGAGCTCATATCCGTCGAAAAAGGGAGGGAATTTTAGGCGTAATTGAACGCGGATGCCTTTGACCATCTCCCCACAACGCATACGCTTCTTCGCCATGAATTGCATCGTCTCCGACCTCCAAATCGTCTTCGTGCATCTTCAAGTCAACAATTCGGCTTACAAATATGCATATAAGACTCGTCATCACAACGTTCCAAGCGGCAATGAACGCTGCACCGGCGAGTTGGTACCCCATTTGAGTGAATCCGCCTCGGATATGAACGGCTTCGCTTCTGTTGATTATGCTGTATAATAATCCGGGACCTTGTTTCGAATATTTTGAAGTGTAGAACATGTGTATAAGGTTCGGTTTGGCTAAAATTCCTGATAATAGGCCTCCCAAAAGACCCGCGACTGCGTGGGTGTGGAACACGCCTAAAGTATCATCAACTCGTTGAAAGAAGGTTGATTTTTTGTGTAGAACCATCATCGTGTACCATGGTACCGAGCCTGCCAAGACTCCCATAAGCATTGCCGCCCAAGAATCGACTACTCCTGTATATGGCTTACGGTTTTTAATCGTTCAAAACACGTGAATTTTTGGAAACTGATGATGGAATGGAAAATGACACCCTTAACGTCGCCTAAAAATACCATAAAAGTATTTTCAGCGACGCAAAAGCGTAAAGATACTATCTATTGTGAGACTAACGTAAATCGTAGCAATGGAAAATCATGCAACTCTTTTAAGTGATGGATTTTCCATCGCAAAAAGCCAAAACAAACCCTGGTCTATTTTTACTCGGTTGTAGAGTAACAACCGTGTAATATCAGTAATGCTACAAAAAATCATAAACATCTTACGCGGTTGCTAAACAGTAATGAGACTCACAGTTATATACGGTTGTTTGGTAGTGGCTTAATGATATAAAAAGTGACTTGTTTAGGAAGTTTTCGAGGGTAGCTTTATATAGAAAGAGAAATTTTTTCCAAACTTGCCCCTCTATTGAAAAAAAATGCTACTTTCATCTATGCCTTCTCAAAAAAATAGTTTCAATCTAGATAGACAAATTAATCACATAAACAGTTTTTTTTTATCCATACAAGACTCAATGAAAAACCAACCAAATAGCTCCTAAGATTAATTTGATTTGGATGCGCATATGGTTATTTTTCCGGGTCTTTATAATTAAAAAAAAACCCCTCATTTTTAGGTAAATGAAAGGTGCTAAAACCCGTTTTTGTAGTAGTGACTCTCCATTATCATGATATTTACATTATATAATATTTATATTAGTTGTGTATCCGTGCAATACGGCGGGAGATGTGAATTTTAACGATTTTAAAGTTTCACTAATTTGAATAAATAAGAGTTATGATTTCAATTACAGTCTATCGATGGAAAAAAATTGTATGATATTTTAAATTCTAATATATTTAAAATACAACATATTTAAAAGACTCCACAAATATGTTTGATTTACACCAATGGCAAAGAATCAAGAGATTAAGAACAAGACTGATAGTTCAAGAGCAATTGAATGAGAGATAAATGAGAGAACTTTTAACAAGTCGTGGTGAATATCAGTTTGAATCTCACCTTTTTGGGGGTGGGGAGAAGACATAGAGGTATGAGAGGGTGAAGGCATGAGAGAAAGATGTTAAAAGTATCTTGGGAACATGACAAAAAAAGATAATAATGTGCATTGGTAACTTGTATTATATGTTATTTTAATTGTAGATTAAGAAATTTTAAGACTGAATGCATAAAGTAGTAGTACTTAATGCATTATGAGTTGTTTGTAAGACTTTGTGTATAAATATATAGTACTTTGTACATTAAAAATTGTTTTTAAGACTTTTGATAAATCTGGTTTATAAGGTAGTATAGATACATGCAATATATTAGTTCTTAATATCACTACTAAAAAAGGGGTTTTTTCTGACGACAAAAAATCCGTCGGGAATCCGTTCTTAATAACTCATAGTAGGAGACATTACCTGCGGCGGGAGTGATGCACACAAGGCCGGTCATCATGCCTTGAACCGCACCGATGACCGAGCTTTTCGAATGGAAGATCAGGTCGAAGAACATCCAAACCAAAAGACTGGTGGCGGTGCAGATATGGGTGTTTAGAACCGCAAGCGAGGTGATTTGATTTGCCGCCAGCGGTGATCCGCCGTTGAATCCACTCCACCCCATCCATAGAAACCCTGCTCCCGCCAACATGTGTATTATGTTGTTTGGCGCGAAATGGTCCCTATCGTTTTGATGTCGAGGCCCCACCTACATCCATCATCACTTCAATAACATCAGAATCAGACACCAACCCTATTTGAACCTCATCATCACAGCTTTCCGACCAGATAATGATCCATTAACCAACGATATTTGAACCCCATTTGACACAATTGAATTCTTTTTTAACGATGATTCAAAAAGTTAACAGAGAAACGAAATTAAACTGACCCAATAAGCCGCAGTGAAACCTGCAACTCCAGAGGACATATGAATAACGTAGCCACCGGAGAAATCGATGATCCGGTGCGCGAGAAATCCCTTATCCCAAATCGTGTACGCACCAACCGTGTACGAGAAAGTTAGCCATAAAGGCACAAAAATCATCCAAGCATAAAAGTTCATTCTCCCTAACAACGAACCACCAAGCAATATGACCGTTATCGCTGCAAACACAAACTGATAAAACACATAATCGGCTTTCGGAATCGTCTTATCGTCTTGTTGTTCGATCAAATACGCTTGAGTTACCGACGACAGTTTCGGCATGCCCAAGATCACTAACATATCGTCGCCAAAGGAGAGTTGGTGAGCCCACAACACCCAACAGATTAAGACAGCGGCGAAGGCGTATAACGCCATGAACGCCGAATTCACCGCCCATTTTTTCTTGACCATGCTGCCGTAGAGGATGACAAGGCCGGGAACGCTTTGGAGCCCGACCATGGCGGCTGCCGTGAGCTGCCATGCATTATCGGCCTTGTTTAGCCACTCCGGCGAGGCCTCATCCGGTAGGAGGCCCGATGGGAGGAAAGCCATGGTTTCGGCCATGAGAATGGGGTTTGAGTGAAGTCGTTTTATCATTTATGGGAGGTATATAAAGGAAAGAGTAAATTACACTTTTGGTCCCTATGGTATTTCAAAAATTATGGAATTAGTATTTGTGGTTCGTTTGTTAGATTCACAGTCAGCATGGTTTGTAAATTCTTACAAAATTGGTCCCCCACTCTAACGAATGTTGGTGGAGGTCGACAAAAGCTGACCCAAGATTTTTGTTAATGATAACACAAAATAATTAATATGGGGTCTAATCAAATGAGAACTAATTAATATGGGGCCTAATTAAATGAAAACTAATTAATTTGTGGTATCTGTAAGTTTCAATATGAGCCAATCATTTTATTATATTAATTGTATTACCTTAATTAAGAAAAAAGATGTATTAGTAATTTTATTAATATATTTCATAACGGTTATCAATCAAAGAGAATGATATTGTTTTCTTATTAATTAAACAAATTATGGAAGTTCATTCACCATATCATCAATTACGTACAATCATTGTAGAAATAAGATGAGGTATAATATAATTATAATCAAATCCCCCATTTTTTATTCGTTTAAGAAGCTGCAAGCCTTTTATGTTCTTTGTAATCTCTGTGTATCATAGTTGTATAGTATTCATCAACCAGATCTGGTATTATAGTGTGTATTACATTGTATTTTTGTCGTTATACGAAGTGTATTACAATATATTTTTGTTGTTTTACGAAGTGTAACAAATATATCAGGTAATGTTTTATTTATCAAGTGTATCACACTGTGTTTTTTCGTTATTTTATGAAGTGTATCACAGTGTGTATCATGTGTTGATATGATGTTCGTTGGGGAGAGGATGTGTTTGACGGAGAGAGTTGAGAGGAGAGAGAAGAGAGGAGGAAGAAGAGAGGAGAAATCTAGAATGACTAAAATGTCCTTAATTAATATTTTAAGTTAAAATTATCAAAGGTTATTAATTTCTTAATTTAACATTTGATTTGTAGTTGAGATTGGATCTCACGGTTATCAGAAACTAATCAGTTCTTCCTTGAGTAAGCCCCTAATTACTATAATATAGAATAAAATAAAAATTCTGTATCAAGAAAAAAATGCTTTCACTAGAAAATTAGGGTTTATAATTTAGGGTTAATATATATATATATATATATATATATATATATATATATATATATATTAGAATGATACTCGCACAATAAGCAAGATACATTTTGATTTTAATGTTTTGTTTTATTCATTGACTCTATAAATGTTATAATACGATTTTATTTGGTTTTGAGAAAACGATAGTGTTTTTATTTTTGAATAAAATAATTTTTTTTGAAGATATCATAATAATTTGAAGGAAAAAAATATCAATATTAGTATCAAACTAACTATTTAAAGTTTCGTTTACTTTGTAATTTCTTTAATTTAATTTTTTTATTTAAATTTACTTTAAGTTTAATATCGGGAATTCAATCTTGGATTCGTTATGGATGAAAGATCTTCGTATGTTATATTATTCAATTCTCGACGAAGAATTAATTTAATAGCTCAAATATTATTATTCATGGTATTGATCCGATTGAAGATCATCGATAGAGAATGCATTCAATACTGACAGGTGAAAGATTTACCATCTCTATGGGATTAAATCCCGAGTTATTGTGAAATATAAAAAAACGTTGAGATTATGGAAGTAAATATTCTTGTATTTATTGCTACTACACTCTTCATTTTAGTTCCTATTGCTTTTTTACTTATAATTTACGTAAAAACAGTCAGTCAAAATGATTAATTACTTTAAATTAAACTTCAAATGAAGTAATTTATTGTTGGTTTAATAATAAAAAATTTCATAAAAATAATAATTAAATATTATGTTGAAATTCAATGATTATCCTAATATATTTAGATATTTTATATTTAAAATTGGATGTTTATCTTTATTTTTATTATATTTATCTACAGTTAGTTACACAGATTCAAATATGGTGTTTTCAATAAGTCGTACGTATACACAATCTACTTGTAATCTTGAATTTTAAGTAATATACATCAATAAACAGTACTTTATGCATAAAAATGGTTTTTACGAGTTTCTGTCAAATACTTTATAATATAGTATAGATAGTCGTAAGTTCATTTGAGAAGTGGTAAGTATTTGAGAACTAAAGTAGTGATTCTAGCCCTTCATCTCAAGATCCGCGACATGGTAATAGCTATGCAAAAAATAAATGGGTAATTTCGTAACTTTTACATATAGGTAGCAAACAAATGTGTATGTAAACCCATGAGAATTCACATGTGAACTATTTGTGCATATGTGAACTTGTGTGATTCATATATGAATTATTTAATCGATTCACATATGAACTCGTGTGATGAGTTAATAGTTTATATGTGAGTCAGTTAATTAATTTATATATGAATAATACGGGTTCACATATATGCAGATAGTTCATATGTGAATCACACGGGTTCACATATGCACTTGTTTGCCGCTTATTTGTAAAAAATATAAAACTACCCATCTATCTTCAGCATACCATGTGACCGAATTATCCGTTGCTTTAGAGTCAAAGCCACAAATATTGATCAGATGAAGAGTTACGATCACTTCCCTACTTCTCACATATTTAGCACTTCTCAAATGAATATCTCACTACACACACACACACACACACATATATATATATATATATACATATTAGTTACTAAAATTGATAGTTTTTTCTCTAATTCTTTCTATTTTAGGGTCGTTTACCAAACGCTTACCCGGGTAAGCGTTTACCCAGTCACATTACCTCACCAGATGAATATGGTAAGGACCAAGAATCTTACCCTGTGAGAGCGAGACAAGGACCAAGAGACTTACTCTATAAGTGAAGGCAACGACTCTTACCATGATAAGCGCTTACCGGGTAGATTGTTGCATACGATGTCGTCGTTTTGGTGGACTAAAATTTTACACGGTAAGTAAATAATGGTGTTAAATTTTATCGGTAAACACTTACCGAGTAAGTGTTTGGTAAATGACCCCTTACTATGCTTTTAGTATTTATTATTGAACACAAAAATGGTTGCGCCAATAAGTATGTATCTTTACAAAAAATTACATTATGTCGGACCAACTCAGTGGTTGCATTGGATCCTACTGAGTTCATAGTGGATCAGTTTCCTCATTTTTGATCTTTTTTTTGTGTTTTCTCTATTTTAATTAAAATGGTTTCAGTATATACAAGTTTAAAGTATGTATATAACCCATTAATAAATCGGAACCCCTACCCCTGTAACCCCATCCCTCCCAGACACCATCTTGAAAAGAAAAAAACGAACGTTCGTAGAACCAACATAAACATTCAAACTTCAAGTCTCATTCCTCCTCGTTTATGTTCTTTTTATGTTTATGTAATCTTTCAATAAGTCGTACTTATACACAATCTACTGGCAACGGGTGTACTTAACATTGAAAGTTAATGGCCTTTAAACGCAAGGACCAAATTTGCAAGGATTTGCAATCTTAGTAAGCGTCGGTGTAATAAACGAACCATAAGGACGAGATCAGTATTTTATGACAAAATCATAGAGATGAAAAGTGTAAGGAAATGAAACTGAGGAGATTCTAAGTGGAGTCATTGGGATCATCTTTGTGTAACATTGGTTGCATCTTTCGATTCATATGACGTTGTTGGAATCTAGAAATAGTTGGCATCAAGATTCATCAAAGAATCCGACACAAAACTGCAATCTTTATTTATTTGTTATTTTTTTTAATGTAAAATATTATTAGGATAAACCACAGTTTGTTTCGATTTTTGTTTTTCTGTAACGTTTATCGAGTAAGTGTCTTCTCTCTTACTTACTGGGTAAGATTCTTAATCCTTGTTATGTTTCTTACCAAGTAAAATTCTTGGTCCTTCTCATGCTCACACAGTAAGGGGTTGTTTGGTAGTTGCTTAATGGTTTGGTGCATAATGATTAAGTGGTCAGAATGATTAAGAGGCTCTCATGATATAGTGCAAAATTAAATATAATTTTTTGGTAATTGTTTACATTGAAATTAGAGTGTTGAATGGTTAAGGGGGCTCATCATACAAAATCATTCAGAGGGTTTTAGAACAATTAAGAAACAGACTTTTTTTGTCAAACAAGATTTACATCTTAACGATTCAAAAGTTGCATATGGGAACAGGTCTTGGTACCATCAAGTTAAATGTTAGATATTTGTAGGAAAAACACTTTTAATGCCTCATAGTCATGGGATTTAATGGATCATTTTTAATCTACATATGTTGGATCCCGTTCTTTTGCAGAGTAATATATAATGGAGTTTCATATATTATCATAGTTAAACCAGTTTCATGATAAAAGATCAAAGATAAAGCAAAAAAACACGTGATATCCAACCACTTGGGTTGTGGCGTAAGGTTAAAAATCAGGGGATATAGTGGAAATCTCATCTTCCCTGGTTCGAATCAAAAAGCTGCCAAAAGACCTCGTGACCGTCGAGGCTCATTTGTGACCGACTCCAGCTCATTTTTTACTGACTCCAACTCATTTGTGGTCGTCCAAGAGATTAGTTGGTACGTGTAAGTTGGTCCTGATACCCAATGGTTTTTCGTGAGACCTGTAAGACCAGTTCTCAACCGTTGGATTAGATCTACAATCTGAACATTCATAATCATAAAATTGTCATGAGACTTCTCAATAATCACAAAATTGTCACCGTGCAACTTTAGAACATTAGATCATTAACTTATAAAGTTGATCAATGAACATAAATTGGTCTTATGGGTCTCACGAGAAACCCTTGGTCTCACGTGAATCCAACCCTCTATATATCTATATATATATATATAAGCACATTATATCCTATCTAAAAATAAGGTCTTATTTGTGTAATATGTACGCGCACATTTCCTCTACTTCAAGTTCAAAAGGTAGAGAGATTGTTTATGTGAAAAATTGAAACGAGCAAACAACTCTTATTTATTTGT